ATAAAATATATATAAATATATTACATTTACAATCTGTTCCTTTAAATTTGCCGATGTGTGTATAGTTTCCTATAATGTTATATACAGTGTGTGTCACGACGAGGGTCCATTAGAAGTATCTGGAAAAGTAGTTGTAATTAAAATTTGAAAATTTGTGTAATTTGTTTGAAAGTATTAGTCATTGCGCTCTATTCCCCCTATAGGGAAGTAAACATGAACCTTCCTTATTTTTTATCGCTGATTTCAATAAAATAGAAAAAAGTGGGTGGTTCCATTTAAAAGACTGAAATAATTCGGTATTTTTGAAGTTCAACTTTTCACATGTTTTGTATACACCCTGTATAAAATAAAAAGTTTTTTAACACGGATTCAAATACCTTTGATCTTGCTAGTGGCCACCATACAGAAACCTTTTTCATATCTTTAAAGTGATCCCAGTAAAAAAATAATTTATAAGGGTCTGCAACGGTCAAATTTTCCAAAAAAAAATTAGTAACCCAAAAAGTATGCATTTTTGAAAAAAAAATTTTTAGACAAAAGCACTCTAAAATTTTGCGTACATTTCGAAAATATATTAATATATGGGGTGTCCCATTTAAAATAACAAAGTTGATGTCCACTTCCGGTATAACCGGAAGTAAAGAAAAGTTGAAAATATTTTCATTAAATAGAGCACATCGAATAACATTCGTAAACAAATTTTCAAATTTTAATTACCATTACTTTTCCAGATACTTCTAATGGACCATCGTCGTGACACACACTGTATATACAGACACTTTTATCTCGTCGTTATACAACCGGCTCTATTTTATCGAATATAATAATTTCGCGATATGCCACGCCGCTGGTTTTATTCGCTCAGGTAACTTCTTCGTAACTTAACAGTACTGAGAGAGAGAGAAAGAGAGAGAGTGAGAGAGAGAGAGAGAGAGAGAGAGAGAGTATTCTAGAGTTGTTCTAGTCTACGTGGTAATATTACTAATTTTTGATATTACTTAAATTTGGGAAAATTACTAGATTTTGAAAAGTAACTAAATCTGGTAATTATGAGAAATTAAATTTCCAACGGTGCATGTTACAAAAAAAAAACACTTTTAACTCGTCGTTACACACCCGTCCTTATTTTATCGAATATACAGGGTGTTTCACAACTTATCCGATAAATTTTAACCATATATGCACTGTTATGAAAGAAGTTAATTTCCCAAAAAAAAATGTAATAAAAGTCTTACAGAAATCGAGATAATAAAATAATAGTTTAACAGTTCAATTACTTATACAAGATGTTCAAAATTGTTCCCATTTACTGCAATGTAAGCTTGGGTGTTTGTTTTTTTTTTGTTTTTAACGATTGTTTTGGTGCAACATTTGCTACAGTATAGTATTAAGGCAAAATTATGAACGCAAAATGCAGTATTTATTTTTCAATTTTTTATTGAAACTCGGGTTTATAATTTTATTTCTGTAGGACTTTTATTAATTTTTTTTGAGATTTCTCAAAGAGAGAGAGAGAAGTTGATTTCTCAAAAAAAAGTAATAAAAGTCCTACAGAAATAAAATTATAAACCCGAGTTTCAATAAAAAATTGAAAAATAAATACTGCATTTTGCGTTCATAATTTTGCCTTAATACTTTACTGTTGCAAATGTTGCACCAAAACAATCGTTAAAACCAAAAAAAAAAAACAAACACCCAAGCTTGCATTGCAGTAAATGTGAACAATTTTGAACATCTTGTATAACTAATTGAACTGTTAAAATATTATTTTATTATCTCGATTTCTGTAAGACTTTTATTACATTTTTTTTAATTAACTTCTCTCATAACAGTGCATATGCGGTTAAAATTTGTCGGATAAGTTGTGAAACACCCTGTAACAATAAATTATCGCTCTACGCTACGCCGCTGGTTTTCGTTTTCCTCGCCCAGGTAACTTCGACCCAAACACAGTTAACAGTACTATCGAGAGAATCAGAAAGAGAGAGAGAGAGAGAGAGAGAGAGTACTCGTTATTCTAGCCTACGTGGATAAATATTTCGATTCGAAACGACCAGTCGACTCGAGCGCGCCTCCACTTAAGACCTTCCTTAAGACAAAGTGCGATGAACCCAACACGGTAAATACTCCAAAAACTTAACCAAAAATCCACCGAAATTTACTCCAAAAAAAAAAAAAAAAAATAAATAAAATAATTCTATTCTATTCTAATTCTATTCAATTCTTATCCATCGATAATAACTAGTACAAAAAATAATATATATTATATACGAATTGTATATACGAAGTAGTAGAATTATGCGATATACCGATAACGAACCGTGCGTTTCTTATCGAGCCTTACGCGGTTTAACAAACAGGCTTAGTTTTATTTCTCGTTTCAATCGAAATACGGCGAAAATGAACAACGAATCGGGTTCGAGAAAAGGTGGAAAAAGTGTTGTTTGGGCGTATTTCTGGTGGTTGTTTGGCGGTATTTTCGGTTTGCACCTGTTTTATTTGGAGAGGGACGCCCATGCGTTTCTCACGTGGAGTACTTTGGGGGGTTACGGTTTGGGGTGGTTGGCTGACGTCACGAAAATACCGCGTTACGTCAGAGATTGTAATGACGATGCCAAGTTTTTGGGGGAGTTGGGAGAAAGGATGAGACGTAATAAGAAGGTAAATTTTCTATTATTATTATTATATGCATTTTGGGGATATTATAAGAGGTTTTGAAAAAGTTAGTTAATCCTGGGGATTTTTGCGAAAATCTGGTGATATTACTAGATTTTGAAAAAGTCACTAAATCTGGTGATATTACTGGATTTTGAAAAAGTCATTTAATCTGGTGATTTTTGCTAAAATCTGGGGATATTACTGTGTTATCAAAAGTTGCTAAAATCTGGGGATATTACTGTGTTATCAAAAGTTGCTAAAATCTGGGGATATTACTGTGTTTTCAAAAGTTACTAAATCTGGTGATTTTTGCTAAAATCTGGGGATATTACTAGATTTTGAAAAAGTCAAAGAGTGTGAAAAAGAGTTGGGCGAACGGATGAGAAGGTGAATTATTTTTTCGGTTGTTTTATTTGGATCTTGGAAAAAAACGTAAGAATTAAAAAAGTAGGTTTTTAGGTTTTTATAAGGGGTTTAGTTCATTTATGTTAAGGCCGCAAAAGCACGACCTCTAATTAATAATTTGTGGGGTAATATTGAACTATTTTTGGTAAAAATTTTCCATAATAGATGGGATGAGATTAGTTTAACTTACTAGTGTTTGATTATACTTGACAAAAAATAAAACGTACAACAAAGTTAAATAAAAAATCCTTTTCAGAATTTTTTAAATTCAATTCTTTTCCCTGCAAATTAAAAAGATAAAAGTAGCGTTTTAAAAATACTCATTAAAGTGCTCTAAAAGTATTCCGGTACACTGGAAATACCTTATTTCATATTACCTGCCCTTAAAAAAGTGCAAATTATCCAAAAATATCTGAAAAAAAGGAAACCACTGGCAACGCTGTCGCTAGTCAAATTTACAAAATTATTCTGTGATTTGACATTTATGTCAGGCAAACACCATATTTTTACAGGAGTCTATCATCATCATTTTCTAAAAATTTTTTATTAGTTTTTTTTATTTCTAAGCCTTAAAATAATAATTTACCTTTAAATTTGCAATTTAAAATCATACTTGAATATAAGACTTGGTAAAAGAAATATTAATTTCATAAATAAATTTACAATTTATTGCCTAATTTCAGCCATTTTACCGAATAAATGATTATTTTCCACAAATCATAAAGATATTGGTACATTATATTTTATTTTTGGTATTTGATCTGGAATAGTGGGAATATCAATAAGAATATTAATCCGAATTGAACTTGCAGCCCCAGGTTCTCTTATTGGAAATGACCAAATTTATAATGTAATTGTCACAGCTCATGCGTTTATTATAATTTTTTTTATAGTTATACCTATCATAATCGGAGGGTTCGGTAATTGATTAATCCCTTTAATAATTGGAGCCCCAGATATGGCATTCCCTCGAATAAATAATATAAGATTTTGGCTACTCCCCCCTTCTTTATTTCTCTTAATTATAAGAAGAATTATCGAAAATGGAGCTGGCACTGGATGAACCGTCTACCCCCCTCTTTCATCAAATGTCTCCCATGCTGGAGCTTCTGTTGATTTAACTATTTTTAGACTTCACCTTGCAGGAATCTCCTCAATTTTAGGAGCCATTAACTTTATCACAACAGTAATTAATATACGACCAAAAGGAATAACCTTTGATCGAATACCCTTATTTGTATGAGCAGTATTAATTACAGCAATCCTCCTACTTCTCTCCCTTCCTGTTTTAGCAGGAGCTATCACAATGCTGCTCACAGACCGAAACCTTAATACTTCATTCTTTGACCCTATAGGCGGAGGAGACCCTATTTTATACCAACACTTATTTTGATTTTTTGGTCATCCAGAAGTTTTTTTTTTTTTTTTTTTATT